GATAGATAGATAGATAGATAGATAGATAGATAGATAGATAGATAGATAGATAGATAGATAGATAGATATTTTAAGCTCTGGAATGCCTCACCTATTTGGAAAACCCAAAGCCAATGAGAAATGCTGCCTCAAAAGAAAAAGGGTTAGTGGAGCCTGAGGAATGACACCTGATATTGCCCTCTGGCATTCATATATACATGCACACACACAAAGAAAGACATGGACTGACATCTTGGTAGCATCCTGAGCACAGCATTTGCTGTAGTGTTTTATAGTCATCCTTCTCCTAAGGCACTAAGCTCCCTAACACAGGTGCTGCATCCTCGCTTAGCTTCTAGCTCCTGCCCAATACTGGGAGCATAGTAGGTGTACAGGTTCTGTTGACTGGTTGTATAGATAAGATAAAGAAACCATTTGTATACATATTTAAGTAAAATTAAAAACACATGTTTTAGATTCTACCATTAAGGAAAATCTGAAAATTAGAAGTGATATATATATATATATATGTACACTTCATATTTGAGATAATGACATTTATTTCTCAATGTAGGTGTTTATTGTTGGCAGAATTTGTGCTAATCGCACCAGAATTTATCATAAACTGAAACATTTTAAATTCAAACTGTACCAAGAATGTTGCTCCATTGCAAGAGCAGAAGAAGGTGAAGGTGAACAAGTCAAAGAAACAGTAGGAAGAGTCTTCAGTCAGTCAAAAGAGAATGGCTGGATTAGAAAGGTAAGACCCTAGACCTCCTCATTCTGCAGAATCTGGAGGCTTGAGGATGCCAGCAAAAAGATGACATTAATAGACAGTGATTCTTAAGAAAATCTCTTCTCTTCCTGTTCTTATGTTTCCTCTTCTGCCACCTCTTCCTTCCACGTTCATCATTGTTCTATTGTGAATAGACATCCTGATGCTCTAAGAATTTACTCACCTCATGGAGATTTTATTAAACAATAATGCTGTACCTTAACAAAAGATGCCTCTTCTTTCTCTTTTATGTATGCAACCTTACTAACATTAAGTGACTTTTTTTTATTGCTGTGATAAAATTCAACGACAGAAGTGTCTTAATAGAAAAGGGGTTCTTTTTCACTTACAGGTGTGTGCTATGTTCCATTATGGTGAGAAAGTCCTGTGGCAGGACCTTGTAGAGCCTGTCTTGTTTCAAAGTCAAGAAGCAAAGAGATTAATTCTTCTGCTCAGCTACCTTTCTCTTTATGCAGTCCAGGACCCAATCCTAGAGAATAGTGTCACATACTTTTAAGGTAGATTTTTCTACCTTAATACACCTAACCTAGATAATCCCTCAGAGGCATCCCCAGAGATTTGTCTCCTGGGTAATTCTAGATCCTGTCAAATTGGGAATCAATATTAGCTATTATATTCCAGGGTAGGTTTTGGGGGGCTAGGGTGAGTCAAAGTATAGGACTGACCTTTGCTAGTCTGCTTTCCTTCTTTAAAACAATCCCTGTGATCTAAGAGTGAAGCCTGATGAAAGGGTCTGCATCACCAATTCTAATACAGCCACATCCTCTTCTTGAGGACCTGGGGCTGAGTAGTTGGCATTGTCACTGAAGATAGGAGGGCATGCTGAGGCTTCAGGCTGTGGAACCCTCTGTGATTCCCCTGTTCCTTGATAGTCACTGAATTTGGTATCTGAGATAGAGTGGGAATTCTAAAGAGTCCAGCGGATCTATAAGATCTGGCATTTCAGAAGCTCTACTTTGCTCACAAAATCTTTAGAAGTATGCTGTGGAAAGAATGCTCATGACAGCAGTTTTCTAAAACAGAGTTAGTCCTGTAAATATGTGAACAATTAGAAATTATTCAGGAAATTTGGATCAATGACACATTCCATCTTAAAAAATAAAAGAAACAAAAAAGGGCCTGACTTGATATCTTTTGCCTGGGTTATATAATTGGGAAATCTGTAAAAGGGCAAAAGTGAGGCAAATAAGCTTTATGAGCAAAGAGTCAGGGAGCAGCCACACAGGACCACCTCAGGGTCTGTCATGTGCAGTAGAGAGGTCGTCGCTACAGAGAAAGACATTGGAATTACTTTCCCTCTGGATAGTTACTGTCCTACCTGATCCACCAACCATTAATCTTTCTCTGTCTCCTTTCACTCTCTCCAGAAGGTCCTCTACTCCCACTCTGTGTTTTCCGTTGGCTTTGGGGAAAGCCTTAGCTAGTAACCCTGTCTCCATTTTCTGAGACACTGAACTTCTTAAGTGCTTTTTATGATACCTTTAAGAGCTACCAACTCAGTGGTATAATTAGAAAGTCTATTGGTATACCTCACTTATAAATATGCCCGCTTTCCCCACTTTTGTGGTACCTGAGATTGAACCCAATGCTTTGTAGATGCTTGGAAGGTGCTGTACACTCAGCTATAACTGCAGTCTTGTGTAAGTTGTGTGGTTATTATAAATAATAATTATACATATTTATATGTGGAGAACTTTCAACTTCTTGTAGGGAAAACACCAAGGATTTCCATGTGTTTTAGAGGACGTAGAACAAAGTTTAGGACCATTGATGGAATATGAAACAAAAACATTCTTAAGGAAAGGAAGTCAAATTACATTCTCTGTCTTAGGTTTCCATTGCTGTGATAAATCACCATGACCAAAAGGTGGAGGAATGGTTTGTTTCAGCTTACAATTCTCAGATCACACTTCATTACTGAGGGATATCAGAGCAGAAACCTGGAGGAAGGAACTAAGGAAGAGGCTATGAAGGAACACTGCTTACTGGCTCACTCTGGATGTTTTTCAGCCTGCTTTCTACCATGCAGGAAGTCCTGCCCAGGGCTACCACCACCCTCAGTGATCTGTATCCACCTACATCAATCATTAATCAAGAAAATGTTTTACAGACTTGCCTATAGGCCAAACTCATGGAAGCATTTTCTCAGTTGAGAATTCCTTTCCCCAAATGACTCTAGTTTCTGTCAAGTTGACATAAAACTAACCAACAGAATCAATCCCTTGTCAACTTGACACACAAATATATAACTATTAAAACATAAACTTTTCTTTCTTTTTTGCTCAAAGATGACATTAATATTCATATCATAATATAAAATATTCTAACTTTTAAGAAAGCCACAATCTTTAAAAATTCAAACACTAAAAGTACAGTTTCTCTAAAATATCAAAGGTTCCTTTTAAATTTCAGTCTCAACAATAGGCTCTTGTAATCAAAATCAAAAGATGAGTTAAATATTTCCTTTCTCCAAGAGAAGAATCAAGGCATATTCACAGCCAAAGCAAAGCCAAAGTCCATCAGTGTGAAGCTGAGTGTCAGACTTCCGGGACTCATTCACAGTCTTCTGGGCTCCAGAGCGCTTGAATAGCCATTCACAGCACACACAGCTTGTCTCCTAGGCTCAGGTCAGCTCTCCTCTACACTTGATGCTCTCCTTGCTGGTCATCCCATGGTATTGTCATCTCCAGTATGCTGGGAACTCTGCAGCTACAGGGCTGTACCTTTGCCAATAGCCTCTCCTGGGCTCTCTTCAGGGACTCTTTACTGTGTCATGTGGTGTCAAGCCTCAACTGTTCTCCATCTCTCCTTCGATCCTGAGGTTTCTACTGCAGCTGTGACTGAACCTTCACCAGTAGCTTCTCCTGGCCTTTCACAGTCCAAGGCCTCAGCTGTGTTCCATGACCCCTTCATGTCTTCCAAACCAATACCACCTGTGTGACTCTTACACATTATCAAGTTTGGCTACCAGCAAAAGGTACACCCTTGGTCTCTCTGGACCAATCTTCTGTGTGCTGACACTGAGTAAATACTCTCTAGAAGATTGCACCTCAGTGATGGTGGTCTCCATCACAATTCTTCAGCCCAGGTAACCAGTATCAAATGTCCCAGCAAGTAAAGCTTTTACTTCAGAGGATCTGAGCCCTTGAGACTCACAACTGATTCTTCAGCCCCAGCTGACCAGAACCACAGATTCTTAATTCAGAGTATCTAATGGCCCTGATAGAGCCTTTAAGGGACTTTTAAACTTCCTTTTGAATCTTCTCAACCTAGGCCTTTGCTATCTGCATTACTTTCAGCATTCTTCTGATCTCCTACAAATTAGCCACTGATCTCTGAACATTCAACAGCTTTTCCAGCATAAAGTTCAAAAGCACAGTCTGCCCAAAAAACACATGGTCAGATCTGTCACAGCAATACCCCACTCATCATAGCAATTTCTGTCTTAGCCTGCTTCCTATTGCTGTGATGAACACTGAGCCCTAAAGCAACTTGGGGAGGAACGAGTTTAGCACTGAGGGAAGTCTGAGAAGGAACTCAAGGCAGAAAGTGATGCAGAGGCCTGGAGGAACATTGATTACTGGCTTACTCCCTGTGGCTTGCCTCACCTGCTTTCTTTTACCATGCAGGACCACCTGCCCAGAGGTGAACTGGGCCCTCCCACATTAATCATTAATCAAAACACGATGTACTACAGAATCGCCCACAGGCAGATTATATGGGGGGCATTTTCCCAATTGGGAATTCCTGTTCCCAGATGACTCCAGCTTCTGTCAAGGTGACATAAAACTAACCAGCACATTCTCCATTAAGAGAAACTTTTAACATTAGATGTTAAAAGAATAATGTATATGCATAGGAGAGGGAGCAGTTTTCCTCTATGTAAAAGCAGCAAAAAAAACTTCATTGTGTCTTAGATTGAGGGCCTTTTTGAAAAAGATTTTAACTTAAAAATAATTATCTAAAGACTAGATCAAGAATCTAAATCTAAAATCTAGAAAAGATTCCCTAGAAACCAGAAAGCTTATATCCAGCATAAATACATACATTGCTTTTTGTGTTGTGATAAAATTCCAGAATTTGTCAAATGCTCTGACATTTCTCAATCTTGCTATCCCATTGAGTGAGAACACTGTGTGTGCTTGTGAACACATGCATTTTTTGGCTGCAGTCGTCACATCTCCACATTTATTCTTCCTCTTTATAGTACCTGAGTCTGTGCTACTTGGATGCCCATCTCAGTGACTCTGGATGGTCCAGTCTCCCAGTATGTCACATCCTTCTCTTGTCCTGCATGCTGTTTTCTGCTCCCTGCTTGTGTTTCTCACTCTACTCCTTACCTGTCCCTTCTCTTCTAAGCAGTTTCCTTCTGTTCTCTCAGGATCTCTTAGTCTGTTTAGCCATGGACTAAAGACCTTCCAACTAAACTTCTTTCTTGTTCTTCCCCCCACTTATTGTGCTAGAATTATCTGCTTTCAGTCTAATAGTCAATGGTTAGCAAGTTAGCTTTCATACAAGGAAAGGGCAAATGAGGGGGAAAGCATAATGAAACCAAAATCTGTAAACATGCATGCCATTCTAAAATAGTCTAATGTGCTCAACATCCTTTTCATTAGGATGAAAATATACCTAGGAGGTAGACAGTAAGATTGTTGGGACTGGTTGATAAAAATGTGGATACCAGGAAGAAAGATAATATGTCAGCAGTAGTAGCAGGCCAGAAGGACAGGGAGATGGCTCAGTAGGTAAAGTGCTTTGCCACATAAGCAGGAGAATTTGAATTCAAACCCCAGTGCCCATGTTAAAAACAGGTGCAATGACATGTACCCTAATTCCCAGTGCTGGAGAAGCAGAGACAGGGGAGTCCCTGGAGTTTTCTGCCCATCCAAATATGTGAGCTTCATATTCAATGAGAGACTTTGTCTTGAATGATAGAGAGCAGCTAAGAAAGATACCCTGCATTGACGTCTGGCATAAACACACACACACACACACACACACACACACACACACACACACACACACACACACATACACACACACCTGAATACATACATAAAAGAAGTTTCAAATCCGTTTTACAGTTATATTTAAAATAATTTGCAGTGTACTACATAAATAAGAACTTCAAATTATAATGAGCTATTTCCCATACTTAGTTCTTCTCTTTTCACCTTCCCCTTTCAACATTTTACTCTTTTATTTTTCTTCTACACCTTAAGTTGGTATTTCTCACGATATTACTCTTAACTACCTATGTCAAAGTCACATAGAAATTTGTGGAAAAATATATAATTCCTGGCCTTATCCAGACCAATCAAATGAAACTTCTTAAGGGCATTAAATATCTAACATTTTTTAAAATGGCTGATTCTTAAGTAAATTAGAAATGGAGGACCACAGCTTAAAATTTCCTGTTGAGCTGGATTCTATCCTCAGACTCTTAAAGCTCCCTCTGTACATCATTTCCTTTCTATTGGTCTTATTTACTCCTTCCAGGTGGAGGATGCCAGGCTTCACTTAGAATCTGACTACCCACTTAGAATTTCCCCTACCCCATCTCCACAATCAGGAATGTTCTCTCAGAATGTCCATCTGGTACTATATGAGAGTGCTCTTCTTTATTAAAGTGAGGCCCAGACTCCCCAAAGGCTCTGTGATGAGCTGTAGGAGCTGCAACTTCAGGCAGAGAAGATGGCAGAGTGGTCCTAATGACCTTTCCTCTGTTTCACTTTCCCTTTTGTGGTTTTCATTTTTTTCTCAGAACAGCTGTTGCCCCACGCCTGCCATTTAAAACTCAAAACAGCATCCTATAAAGGTTAAAAGCATGCATTTAAATATTTGCCCTTCCACTGACTAGCAGTAGAATGTGAAAGCAAGTTACTTGATCTCTCCAAGCCTGTTTCTCCTCTGTAAAATATGAACTAAGCAATAATTAGGGTTTCAATCATGTAAATTATGGCATATTTAGGGCCTGGAATTAGAAAGTGGTCAACTACCATTAGCTGGTATTTGTAATATAAGCAAGCAAAGATTGTTATTTGCTGCTCTCAGTATGCAAAGATACATTTTAATTTTCCAAAACAACTTTTATAAATAAATGAGTAAAACAGTATAAAGATAAAATAATAAGCCTAAAACAGCCAATCTTTTAAGGTACAGGTTTCAGATCCTAAAGAGTCATACTTCCATTTACTTCCATGTACCAAGAGGACTCTAAGTGGCCTATGCTAGCAGATCATTGTCTGTCTTGTTCTTTTCTTCTTTTTTTTCCTGAGGATGTGCTGCAATCAGAGATCTTGAGGTTATGAAAATGGGCTTCATGGCCTTGCCTAGGATGAAAATGCAGTAGTCACATTGCTTCCCATGAATCCTTGTCATCATAGAATTCAGGCCATTGAGGTCTTCTCTCGGAGTTCATAAACCAAGTTAGAAAGCCATTAAATAATTCAGTATCCTCAACTGATATAAATACTTGGACTCTATGTCTAAATGTGAACTCATGTATCTTCTCTGTTCCCTATCTGCCTGAGATAGCACTGCCTGCCATCATTCTGTACTCTTTCACCTTACAATGTCCAGGGCACCCTTAACCCATTGCTTAACATGTTCCACTCTCTTCTTTACCCTCCATTTTCATTGTTGCCCCACAGATTTGAGTCCTCATTGCTTAATTTGTCACCACAGATTCATAATTCATTGTCAGACAGTTATGGAATAGCTAACCAGCTTTCCAAACATGTGCTTCAAATGAGGTCAGTCATCTGCTCCCAAATCTTTGGCAGCATCACATTACCTATCGAATCTGCTCAACCCATAGCCTAGTATTTCATAGTTTTTATCCTCTGACCTCAATCACTTTCTCTAAGATGGCATCAGATTATTGTGCATTCCCATGCTCCCTTGTCATGATATGGCTGGATAAACTGTTAATCTCTGGGACTAGGGGAGGAACACTTTGCCACTAAACATTTGCCTATCAAATATTTTTGTCCAGAACAACTTAAATGTCACACTTTCCTGGTAATCTAAACTACCAATGGTTTCTCTTCTGACCCTCATAGCAATAATGCTGGTTGTCATGGTGTCTTGTCTTAGAGATGGAGAAAGTGTCTTTTAAAGCTCTGCCCCTCAATAGTCATTAGTAGGAAACTGTTTGCTTACATACACATCTATTCTATGAGTATGTCTTGGATTAGGTACTGAATTATTATATTCATGGTATGATTTACAATTATAACTTATATGAGATATGAAATTAATCACATTATTATTTTATTTCTTTCCAATGTTTTCTGAGTTAAAAATGCTTATTTGAAATAGAGCTTCTATTCATAATTAAGTGATTTTTGTTCCCACTTTTCATTAGATGTGTGTTTTAGTATTTAGAAAGGTCTGTCTTATTTGTTGTTGTGAGTAAAATGACTAATGTCTGTTGTATATGCAGAAATACGATGAACTGGAAGACGATCTCAATTCTGCGGATTATTTTCAAGATGAGAAGTTTGAATTATAGCATGTTTCCTTCAGAGAAGATTTTATAAGTTTCTATTGATGTGAAGATCATGAGCTTTATTTCTCTGTATCATGTGACATTTGTTGTATATTCTATGTGTATCTTTGTGGCAAAATATCTTGTTTATATGCTCATCTGATTTTCATGAAATGCCACAGCGAAGTCTAATAAAGCCTCATTGATGTACATGGAGAACCTCAGCGTTGTGGTCCAGAAATCCATCAGTGTGTTTTAGTCATGTATTGATACTTTTCTCATACATGACCTGCAGTGGAATGTGCTATCATGTCACATCAGTTTAGTAGAAATAGGCTATATTAAAATATATTTGGACTGACCTGGAGATGGCTCAGTCAGTAGAGTACCTTACAAGCATGAGGACCTGATTTCAATCCTCAGAACCATATTTAAAGTAAAAGCCAGATGCGATGGCATGTACTTGTAATCTTTGCACTCGGGAAGCAAAGACAAGGCAGATCCCTGAGACTTGTTAGCGAGGCAGCCAACCTACTCTCATGCCAGTGAGAGACCCTGTCTCAAAAAACATAATGGGTGGTGCTTGAAAATGTCATCCAAGGCTATCCTCTGAGCTCAGCATGCATGTAGATGTATATACATGTGCAACCACACAAAGCACCTTAATACTCATTATATATGCATGTATATATTCATATATAGTGAGACTCGTGCCTATATGTATGTATTGTTGCATCCCTTGGCAATATTAAATAATCTTCAGTAATAAATGTCTAATTGATGTCTCCTCAATCATTGAGCCATGAAGAAGCCTCAGACTACCATGCATTCATTATCCTAACCTTGGAATGAGACCATTGCTTCTCTACTGCAGGAGGAGGAGTGCTTCCGTCTGCTCAAGTTTCCCTTATTAGCAGATGTCTCATCCTCAGAGTCTCAATCCTCACATTCAGGAAGAACTTCTTGATACATGTTTTATTCTATGATGCTTTTGTTGTTTCTATAGTTTTATCTGGAATATATTAAGGATTGAGATGTATTTTGTGATTTTTTTAACCATAACATTCTCTATGTAAATATATACATATGTGTACCAGTCTGAGGATCTTAGAGACAAGTTCAGCCAAAACACACTTCAAAAGCTTATTTTTGTGCCTATACTACTTTGCACATTCTAATTTTCCATAATACAATAAAGTGCTTTCAGAGTAAGCTGTGTATTCTGTTTCTTTAATTCTTAAAGATGAGAACTGTTCTTGTGTGGCATTTTATTTGCCTTTTTCTTACTGGAAAGTTGGTTGAACTTTGCTAGCTTCATATATTGTGTGATTCATGACATGTGCCTCCATGTATATATTACATAAATCTATATTTTACCAAGAATTACATAGAGATGAGTTTGTATTTTCTGCAGTATATTTCTATAATTATCCCTATTGGTCTTTTAAGGTAGTTAGCAAAAGAGAGAGAGAGAGAGAGAGAGAGAGAGAGAGAGAGAGAGAGAGAACAGGAAGTGCAAGGAAGCTGAACGAAGTTGAAGAGTAAATGACAGTTTTGAGGGGTGACGCAGACATTTCCATCACATGCCTACTGCTGTTCAGCTTTCTCTGGCACATGGAGAACGACTACTTAACTCACTTCCAGAGAACAAAAATGAAGCCGTATTCGACAAGTAAAGATGGAAGTGCAGTGTCTGAAGGGAAGCAAAGCAGAATCCAAGAACTGAGGACTATCAGAAGGGGTCAAGAGCATGGGTGACTTGTGTAAAGGAAGGAAGAAGAAGAAAAAGGAAGACAGTGTTGACCTGCAGGCATCACTTCTTCATGGGACAAGTTTGAATCTCCTGTAAAGGCAGGCAGTTTTAACCAGACAGTTTAAAATTTTTATTATTTTATAGCACTCAATTAGCTATAAAGTAAAAGGACTAATAATCCTGGTGAGTTATGGCAGTAGGTGACCTAGTTCCTAGGTTAGTCACATTGCTGATTTGAAGCACTTTCCCAAATGCAGCAAAGGCTGGAGGGGAATGAGGAAACAAACCAGAACACAGAAAGAAGGAGGGGCTGGAAGAAATAATTCTTTCATAAGCAATTGGGTGTAAATAACTGAATTTCCAGACTTGTCTGCTCTCATATTCAGGTATTTGTACCCAACACTCATTATTTGGGTAGTATAGGACATGCTTGGACTTCAGGGTGGGCATGAAGGGTAGTGCATCCCTTAAGCTAGTCCAGCTTGTAATGTCACTCAAATTCTACATTAAGGCAGCAAGTGCTGTGGTTAAGAGAACCTGAGTCTGGAGAGTCCTGGTATAACCTCCCAAATTATTGATGTGGAACAAATCATCTTGATAAGTCTTTATCTTCTAAGTGAGGAACTGGATAAAGCCAATAATATGTTTCTCCAGGAATGTTCATGTATTGAGATAATATATGCGAAAGGTGGACTTTAGATGTGATTTTCTTAAATAAGAAAAAATTATGTGCATAATAGAAGGATGTCAGTGATAAATGGCAACCAGAAATTAAATGGCTGGGATGTGTACAGGTGAATATGTATAAAAGGGAACTGGAGAGATGGCTCAGCAGTTCATAGCATTGGCTGCTCTTACAGAGGACCTCGATCCAGTTCCCAGCACCCAAGTGGTGTCTCACAACCATCTGTAATTCCAGTTCCAGGGGGATCCAATGTCCTCTTCTGGACTAAGCCAGTGCAGCACTGCACACATGTGGTGCACATACATACATATAGGTAAAACATACCTAAAAAAATTTTAATGCAAACAAAAGACACTCTAGACTCTGGAGTCCAGAGAAGTGTCTTACATACTGGAATGTAGTATGGAAACCTGTATGTTGAAGTCTTGCTTCCCAAGCTTGTAATTTATGCTCCTGTCAAGTTTACAAATGAGTGGTACCTGGAGAGAGGGCTCCGCAGCTAAAGGCACTTGCAATGCAAGTTTATTACCTGAGCTCACTCCCTGGAATCCAGATAAAGATGGAAGGATAGAACTTGATTCTATACAGTTGTCCTCAGACTGAGAGGAACAGCACTCAGATATCATAAAAGAAAAAAATCCAGATGCCAGTGCTCATTACACAGTGTATACATGTATTGGAACAACACATAATACCCTAAAACTAGAGACAATTTTATGTCAATTAAATTTTATCTCAATTTGGCAAATTTATCATTTTGATTTATAATTTATATTACTGGAGTAGTTTATTTGGCCAAAGGCAGCACACTGTTAAAACCTATGTTATCATAGGCTATTGAATGAGTGGTGTTTTTAGTTTAAATGCTACATAGTTTTCTTTTATTGGCTATGACTGCTAAATATGCCATTTTAGAAGTAGAAGTTAGTAGAAGCTGTTGTCTACTGAATACTCTTTAAAAATGAAATATCCAAGGTTCAAAAACCTTCACTTTTTTGTGATAGGATGTCTCCAGGTGACAGGAGTCTCCATTTCTGTTTTTCTTCTCTAACAAATATAGTGTCTCCTCCACATGAACAGAGAGGAAGTTGGCCTTCAAGAAGACAGGAAGAAAGAAGTATTATGTTCCCAAGAAAAGCCAGAGATTTTACAGACTGAAAGTAGTTGACCCAAAACTGATCTGGGATGCTGTAGAGTGGAATTATTTAAACAGAGTTAACATGATGGATTTGAGGAACTTCTGGAATTAGAGATACATTCAACTTGTCTAAATCAATATCTCCAAATCAAAAACCCTGAAATCTGAAACACTTTGGAATCCAAGCATTTCAGATAAGACATAACCTGTCCTGTTTGATTGTGCCTGTCTACATGTCCAACTATACCTCTCAGAACCTGTGAAAATCAAGTGGGCTACAGCAGGGCAGCCTGTGGGGAATGGGACTGTGGGTAAATTCATTCTTGAGATACATTAATTTTGTTCGTTTCTGCCCATGGCTCCTGTTCAAAGCATGATCATACTTCTGAGATTCTAGAGTCTGTTAAGTGACTGAAGCTCTGTGTCCTGAGACCTCAGCTCCAAATGGTTTGTAAATTACAGCATTTGTGTTTTTGTTGGTCCCGACTTCCAATACTGTGCCCATCTTAGTTTAGTCTCTGTAATTGATAAGCACACACAGATTTGTCCAACCTGCTTCAATATTTTACAAACCACACCATCAAAATATAAGGAAAAAAAAAAACCTTGTTGCGTTATGGATGTTCTCGAAATCATGAAGTACATTATATATGCCAACCAGACAGCTACGGACAACACACCTTCTTGTATTTGGTGAATTTTCAAAGGAAAACATTTCTCTTTTTTTCCTTCCAGAAGGTATTGGCAATATCAGTCTCACACAACGTCCATTTATCCCTGCTGATTTGCTCATCACCTCCCAGACTGTTGCCCAAACTCATTGGCCCACACCAGTGGGTCCCTTTAGGAGACCGCGGTGGACTTCCCTCTGCATCTCCTAGCACTCACTCACCAACTTCCTTAGTGTGTTAATGAGCTTTTCCGCCGTGCTCACCCAGCTCTTGCTGGGGTGCCCAGTGGTGTCGTTTACAGCTTATTGAAAACCGAAAATCATATCCTCAGGGGGGCGGGCTGCGGGCCTGGAAGGGGAAAAATACTCTCCCTGGCTGGGAATTTTCTTCAGCGTTGAGAGCTGCTCACACATTTGCGAGGAGCCTGGGGGAATTTCCCCAGTCTTCCCCCCACCGCAGCACCCAGGCTGAGGCTGAGCCCAGAGTCCGCTGTCGAGAGGCACCGTTTGGAGGGTTTGCCTCTTCAGCCACTGGGAGGCCTCTGCACTCCGTTCCCCGGTGCCTGGCTGCGATTACTCACTGGAGCAGCGGCACCAGCCTTCCACCAGGGAGCCGGAGCTCCCGCCCTCCTCCCCCATCTGCAGCCTGCTGGCTCCCTCTCTCCCTCTCTGTCTCACTCTCTCTCTCTCTCTTTCTCTCCCTCTCCTATCGCAGCACAATGAAAGCCTGTGTTTCGCCGTGAGTCTGAGGAGCGGGAGCCGGTGTCAGGAAAGCGCTCGGAACAGACCTGAAAGAGAAAGGAAAACACAAGCTACTTTTTTCTTCTTTTTTCCCTCATCTATAAAGCGAAGCAGTACAAGAGATAGAACCACATTGCCTATGGGAGTCCAGACCCTGTGAGCCTCTGGCCGGGGATGGAATGTACAAAAGTGGACAGAAAAGTGGCTGGACATGACTCGGTGCAATTTGCTGGAAGTTTGTAAGTTTGACCATCGTTTGTAAATTACTCTCGGAAGACTTTGTCTCTTGATACTGTATTAGAATAGAACTGGGGGGTGAGGGATAAAAACCTCATTGGGAACGGGAAACAAAATGTGTTGAAGGAGCTCTCTCAGTAGCCAGCCACTTCAGAGTGCTTTCATTTAAAACTAAGAAACCTAAGAGGGAATCGGGATTTCTGCCGGTGATTGGATTAGCTTGAAGAAAAGAGCATGGTCCTGAAGTCCAATTACAGACGTTGTTAAGACTGAAAAGCTGTCTCCTTTGGGGAGAAGACTGCATCCTACCGTACCCCCCAGGAGGAGAAAACACCAACACCGGAGGGAGAGAAAAGGGACGGAGAAACCAGGACAGTCTCCCTTGATTTCGCACAGTTTGAACATGACTTCAGAAGCCTCAGGAAACAGCCCTGTTGTTTGTTTTTTAACCTAAGTAAAAGTGAAGGCTGCCGGTTACATAGACCAGGATAGAAATGTGTTTCTCTGCAGAAACACCCCCATAAATAATTTTCTGAAGCAACTAGGTGAGGGGGAGTCCGGGTCTCCATTAATGACTCTTTTGATGTCTTTTGCTATGCGTTTCTGCCTCTTCCTTGATGATCCCTGAATTCTTGAACTATCCCCTAGACTTTGTGTTTACAAAGTACCTGGAGGCTCTCCTCAGCCTGGTGGGGGAGAAAAAGATCTACAACTCTCTCCAACTTCTCCTGAGCTGTCAAATGCAATTAGAGTAAGTTGATCAGGGTTTGTTTCCAACTTCCCCTCTCAATTGGTTTCTAATCTTTCTCCCCACCCTCTGGCTACTCGTTCCCCGCCCCCACACCTTCTCCACTGTCTCCCTACCCTCTGAAGACCTCTCTATTCATGTGGCCCTGAACACTGAAACCAGCTTTGCCTGCAACACTCAGCCCCAGCCTCTTGCTCCTCACCATCCCAGAGGCAGTAATCATTGTGTCCAACAAGATGG